TAATCAGTTGCCTCTTGTATGTGCCCCGACTGGGGATGGAACCTGCAACCTAGGTATGTGCCCTGACTCAGGATCAAACTTGCAGGCTTTTGGTGTATGGGACAATACTCCAACCAACTGAGTAACCCAGCCAGTGCTCATTATAATTTCTTATACTATATATTTATAACTATATATTTGTGTGATTATTTGATTAATATCTCTATCTCCCATCAGCCTGTAAGCTTCATAAAATAGGGATTCTGTTGATTTTGTTTACTGCTGTGTTCTCAGTGCATAGCACAGTTATATTACTTAATAAATATTTGTTAAATGAGTAAGTGAATTGATCAATATCCAAAGAGCCGATAAAATGCCTAAAATATAGCAAGGGTTCAGCAAATACTATGGGATTTAAATGGAATGAAATTAAATTTTGAATTATTGATAATGGATTATTGATAATGGTAGATAAAGAACAGGTTTTTGTTTTTGTTTTTTTTTAAGATTTTATTTATGTATTTTTAGAGAGGGAAGGGAGGGAGAAAGAGAGAGAGAGAAACATCAATGTGCGGTTGCTGAGGGTCATGGCCTGCAATCCAGGCATGTACCGACTGGGAATTGAACCTGTGACACTTTGGTTTGCAGCCCGCGCTCAATCCACTGAGCTACGCCAGCCAGGGCTAAGAACAGGTTTTTAAGGGAAAATAAAAGTGGGGAAATGCACCTAATCTTTTTAACTATTTATTTATTCAACATCTATTTCTGTCTCATGGAGCTTACTCTGTGTAGAAAGGAGATATAATAAAAGAGTAATGAGTAAACATATATATTGGAGGGTGATAGATGCTTTGTAGAAAAATAAAGCAAGGAAGAGGAATGGGGAATATTGGGGCAAGGTTGTACATTGAGAAAGCCAAATTTGATTAAAGTCTATAGGAGGTGAGATAAAAGCCTATCTAGGTTTAAAGCAAATGCAAAGGCCCTGAGGTGAGCATGTACCTGAAGTCTAATGTGATGATACAAGCAAGAAGTGATGGTGGCTTGGATGATGGTAGTAGCAGTAGAGGGCAAGTGGGAGAAGTGGTTGGAATACCTATATTTTGGAGAATAGCAAATAATGACTTGCTAAAGGATAGGATTTGGGTTGTAAGAGAGAAATGAAAATGAAAAGGAAGAAACAACCCAGGTGTCCATCACCTGATGAATGGATAAACAAATTAGTGGTTTATCCATACAATGGAGTATTATTCAGCCATAGAGGTATGAACTGCTGATATGTGCTACAAAATGGATTAATCTTGAAAACATTATAAATGCAAGAAGTCAAACACAAAAAAACACATATGATATCATCCCAGTTAAGTTAAATATCCAGAATAGGAAAATCCATAAAGATAGAAAATAAATTAGTGGTTGCCTATGGCTTGCAAGAGGGATGGATGGGACTAGAAATAGGTATAAAATTTCATTTTGGGATGACAATGTTCTAAAATTAGGTTATGGTGATGGTTGTGTAACTCTGTAAATATACTAATAAACATTAAATTGTATGCTTTAAATAGGTAATCATTATGGTGTGTAAATTATATCTCAAGCAAGCTTTTATTTTAAAGACTAGCATGTGATTGGGATGGCTAGTGAGGAATTTCAATGAAGCTGCATGATAACAAAATACAGATTGATTCATATTAACTCCAGATGATTACATGGATATTTTTTCCTTTGGAATAAGCAAATCCCTTATTTTACCAGCGACCTGAAGATCAAATGACTGACATTTCTGATCAGGAACCCCTGGGTTTGAAGGGATAAAATAATGATCAAAGTCTGTAGGCTATATGATGAAAAAGTTTTCATTATTTTTATTTTTTCTTTCTTTAATCATTTTATTTTTTTTTAATTTGAGAGGCTAGAGCATGATACAATGTAATAATGATGATGATGATGATGATAACAACTGGCACTTAATATGGCTTTATTATGTGCCAGATACTGTTATAAGTATATTGTGTTTCTAAAATTCTGTTTACATTTTTCCAACCACCCTATGAGGTAGGTACTATTCTTATTTTTCAATGAGAAACTGAGGTACAGAAAAGTAAAATACTTTTGTTACTAGGAAATAGCAGAACTAAGATTCTAACCTGGGCAGTCTGGTTCATGAGCCCATGCTTGTAATCACTATGCTAGAGGTGTACTGACTCAACCTTGTCCAGGCTTACTTAAAGTTTATGGCAGGTGAGCAGTAAAGAATATTGATTTCATTAATTCCCCTATCTTTATAGCACCCTGGGAGAAAGAAGGTCAGTAGTTGTTGTGGTTGGTCACTCTCTGACACTTAACTGTAATACTGCACTTCATCTATTTTTCTGGAGACATGTGACTGTAAAATGTAGAACTTTTATTCTCCACTTTCTACTGCTTTCCCTCTTTTTCCTTTGTTGGTCTTTGTTCTCCAGGACCTCCTTCATCACTAGTCCAACATACAGAGGACCTTGTTCTTGTGTGTTTTACTATTTATTAAAGAACTTGGAATTATTGATACAGATGCCTCTAGTTTGAAATTGAATGATGTGAACATGGGGCTAGGCTTCTCGCCCTCTCGCATCCAGTGCAAAGAAGTGTGTTGTTAGTCTTATAAATTTATGGGAGGAATGATTAAACTATTATGAACCTGATTATAAATACTTTTTTCTATTCAATAAAGTATATCATATAAGGGGTAATATTTTTGTTAGCCTAGCCAGTCAGGACGTTACATGTAAGTTAAAGTAATGTTGCTTTTTAAAAAACAAATATATTCATATTTTCTCAGAATGACCACTTTGTATTAATCTTAATTCCTAAGGTTTCAGTAAAGGATACTTATTTTCTTCAGTGTCACAGCATCAAAATTCAGTTGTATTTTGGGCTGTGCCTAACTAACTCTAAACACTCTTCATGCATCCTTGTCTGTCCCATTTATTTAGTAAATAAGGAAACCAATTTAACATATCAGTATATAAGACTACTAAGGGATCTGATAATCTTAAATACTTTAGTAGTTGGAATTTTGGATTGTAAGTCTTTTTCACATTTAAAATAACCTCTCGCCATTCAGCAATAATTTCTTGGTTCAGTTTTCTCACTTTTTAAAACTCCTCTGAGATAATATGACACCAGTTTGCTTTTCTATAGGAAGCGCTTTAGTATTTGTTAAATGGCCCAGTGGGCAAATCTGTAAAAATATTATGAGTGATAAAAAGCACAATGAACAGTTTTGTAAGACAGCGTGGCATTTTACTGGGCCAATGACTGTGTTATCTCAGTGTGTTTATCAGCTTTTTAGTGCCTAATGTCAACACAGTTGAGAAAGAACTGGAACTGATGTGGATTTATTATAGTAAGTGGGAAATATGATTCAATCACAGGGCTGTTGGGTGACATACACCAAATACAAACAAACCTAAACAAATAAAAGAGACCCCCCCGCCGCTTCAGGCTCTTGGTCTTACATGATTTTAGTCCCTCCAGTGCTCTGGAGTAAATGAATTCTGCCTGTCCCATTGTATAGAAAATGTTTTGGAAAAAAAACAAAAACAAAAACCAGAAGCTGCTTTGTGCATTGAAACAGACTCTGAGACCCTTAGCAGTTGCACTGCTTGTTTCTAGGATTCCTCATGAGAGGGCTCTTTGAGCCCAGAGGCTGATTATGGTCCCAACAGCTTATAAATCCAGTGAACATATGGCTGGGTAGTAGTCGCACGTTAAGCTCTCATGCACTTTACCCTGCTACAGTTGATCCATTAGGTGGAGCACACCATTCCCTCTCTGCAAGACTGTGAGACTACAGCTTCAAGGCTCAACTGGATCAAGACCTGTCTCCTGGCTCCATTTGATCATGTTTTCATATTCTCATGCCTTAGCATTTTATGGTATTGCACAAAGCAACTACCTCAGAAAATTTTAAGAGTGAAAATACATTTAAATCAATACCTGAATATTGCACAATGTTGGGTTGATTATCTAGTTGTACTGTGAGGGTTGTTCTTAAAGTGCTGTGCCCCGTTAGTCTAGATTTCTAAATTTGCAGATTAACTCTAGCAGTAGGACATATCAATAGGTTTTCTTTTCTGAAAAACAACTGGGTAAACCCCTCTTTATGGTTTATACTTTCAGAAAATCATGTACTTTTATTTCTTTGAGATATTCATATCAGTGTAGTCTGTTCGTTTATGGCTCATTTTGACTTTTCTTAGCAGATACCTTAGGGAAACATTACACTTCAAGAAATGCCAGCAAAAACATGAATCAGAATTCTTTTAAATGTTTAATGCTCTTTAACCTAGTAATACTGCTTATCCTAAGGAATTAAACAGACATGTCAAATATTTATACACAAAGGTATCTATAGTGCTATTATAACAGTGAGAAATTGGAAATAAAATAAAGGTACAACTATAAGGAAATGGTTAAAATATTATATGCTCATCCTGAAAAAAAACATGCAACCTTTACAAGACATATTTTTGAAGAAAACTTAATGACAGAAAAAGTATACAATATAATGTTAAATGAATAAAACAGATGAAGGAGAATAACAGTGATCATCTCTGGATGATGCAATTATAGGTTATGTATTTTCAAAAATTTCTAAAATAAGCAAAAATTGCTTTTATAATCAGAAAAGAATCATTACAATTATATATGCATCAATATATATCTCTAACATCCCAGGAAAGCTGGGGCAATTTTAATACCTCACTCTGAATGAATGTTTGTGGGGTAGACAGACAGATGGATAGACAGATGAATGAATGATTGGCAGTTGACACCTGTAGGCACCATCATTGAGTTTATATAACTGCAGAAATGAAAAAATGAAGATTTTTGAATTAACAGGAGGAAATTCCAGATCAGTCAGCTGTTTGAAGGATGACATGGAAGGTACTGAAAGAGTCACAAAATAAGTGAGTGGCTGATGGCAGCCTAGGAGTTGTGTTCTGGCCTTAGGTCCATTGTTGCTCTTGTTGCTCAGCTTTCAACACCATTTTTCCTCTTGGTATATTTGTGTCCGTGAAGTATCTCTGATGCCTGCTGATTTCACTGGTTTCTATTCAGTTTTGCCAGTTACTAAGTAAGAATGAAATAAAAGTCATGAGTTCATTTCCCATTTGAACCATGATCACCTCTCCATATAGGGAAAAAATATCCCAAGACTAACTCTGGCTGGCCAACTCTCAGAGATGGGCTTACTGGTTATGTGGACAAGCAGGTCAGTGTTGGTGGATCAGGGAAACCTGCCTCTAACACTTGTGAGACCACTCAAAATGCCCCTGGACATGTTCTGAGTGCTGTGTGTTCTTAATTTTCTTGAGAGTAGTCTTCTGAAATTGAGTTGTGCTATGTATAATGTTAGCTACCTGAGGAATCAATATAAAACTTAGTCATCACAATTTCCATAACAAATTCACAATAAGCTGTTTATGGAAATTATACATGGGACCAATTGACCTACATTCTGTCCTACAAGATCTTAATATCTTTTGGCTAGTTTGATCAAATTGCTGAACAGGATCTGGCTTTTTTCAAGTCTATCCGGAGACAACATTGGGCGCATGAATGAAATCCAAATGTTTCTTCTCCAAGTGCATTCCCTTATTTGTGAAGGAGGCTGTGTCAAAGAAAGCCACTAGACTTTTTCATAGCATTCTGTATCTCTGCTCGTGGTGGGTTTTTATATGCAGTGTTTTTAAGTTCAGTTACCCTAAAGCCCAAGTGTATGATAATAGTTCCTTGCTTGTATCTGCTCTGCCTTGATCCTGCTAAAATATTAGATTTTACTCTTTGTGTTTTTCAACCCGAGTCACCTCTCATCACTCATTTTAATAAACCCTATTCAAGGGTTGAGGAATTCACAGTTCAGAGCCTAATTATCCTTGTCCTGGAGGTCATAACATCTACAGATATGATGGGCACCCTTAAATTGGCCATTTTGATGTTTTATTCTGGATTTTTAAGGAAGAGAGAGAACATTTTCTGAGCACTAACAATGTGCTGTTGTTTACTAGGCATTTCTCACATACATTATTGAAGTTAGTCCTCACTATAACCATAGAAGGCAGACATTATTACCCCAATCTTACAAATGAGGAAACTATAGCTTTGAGAATTTAAATGACTGAGTCATAATTTGAACATTGGCCTGTTGGACTTCAAAGCCCATGATTTTTCCACTGCACATACTGACTCCCAGGGATAGCAGGGTTTCTCAGACTGAGCCTAATAACACAATAATCACCTAGCCTCCCCTCAGATCCTGCCTTTACCCTATAATTAACTAATTTCCATTATACTTTGCTTGTGTTACCTTGGCAAGATAAATTATTTGCATCAAAGCCAGGAAATTAAGCCTTGAACCACCAATAAGAAGGGCACTCACTGGAGGCAGCTTTCAATTTTGTCCAAAAACCCAGTTACTGTTTTTGTTTTACCTAGTTCCCAGTAATTCATAACCCGATCCAAGAGTGTGCCTTATTTCTGGCATAACTTGTCCTTGCTCGGTACTCAACATTTCAAATCATATTGGCTTCCATCATCCCCTTGACAGTGAAAAAGTTCTCCTGTTGTCAAGGAACACAAAACCTACTATGGTGAAGGCAAGCACAGTCCTCCTCTGGGCCAGAGGGGTAAGCAAAGCCACTGCAAAAAGATCTGCCAAAGGAGGGTTTATATATTAGAATAAATTAGTGAGCCCTGGCTGGTGTGGCTCAATGTGTTGAATGCCAGCCTGCAAACCAAAGGGTCACTGGTTTGATTCCCAGTCAGGACACATGCCTGGGTTGCAGGCCAGGTCCCCAGTAAAGGGGTGCATGGGAGGCAACCACACATTGATGTTTCTCTCCTTCTCTTTCTCCCTTCCCCCTCTCACTAAAAATAAATAAATAAAATCTTTAAAAAATAGAATAAATTATAAACAGATAATTTGTGCTGAAGGTAGAGGATGAGGATGGGAGGAAATTTTTGAGAGTATAGAAATTGAAAGGGATGATCATTAACCTTTGAACAATTTAGGGAAAACAAACTAGGAGTTCATCTAAGGTTGAGGGGGCGTTAAAACCCAAGTGCAAAGTGTTATGGTATGTGCCATTCTTTTGAGAGGGATAATGCTAGATTCCATCCAGCTCCTGAACGTCACAGTTTGAGATTTGAATGAAAACTTTCGAGGGTCGCTGGAAATTATACATTGGACTCAAATGTATTCTCAGGCCATCATTTTAGAGATACAGAGTGGTTAACCGTCCAAGGTGGTTTTGGCACCAAATCCTAGACAAATTAATCCATACTTTTGAGGTTTCTTGCCCTCTTTATTCAGCTTTCTAGGGAGATGATCTAGTTTAGGGTCTTAAGAGACAAACATTCTAGGAATCCACTGTGGAGACCAGGAGGTTGAGGAAAGGGTTACAGGGAAGCTCTGGAAGGCTGAGCATAGTTCCTGGGCTTCTTCCCCACTCTGTTCTTGAATTTCTGCTTCTAGGTTTCCCAGAGAGAGCCTGAGCATAATTCCCAGATGCCAACAGTCATTTTCTGTACCCACAGAGAGCAGAAAGAGGCATCTGCTCCTCAGCTGATCTCCTGAGCCATTTTAGAAACATCTTCTTATATGATCAGGTTTCTTAGGAAAATGAAAGTTTGGGAGTAAATGGAAGAAGGTCAAGCTCTAAGGAGCAAAGTGGGCCCAGTGTGGAGAGCTTGGTAGTGCCCTCCTTGGTATCTACCCCCTTTCCTCTCCTTTCCCTTCCAGTGTCTCAGAATTTGTGGTTCAGCATTGTCATAATCAAGTAGCTACAAGTGAAGTAAGAGGCCAACTGAGGGAAAGGGGCATTACAGGGTTAGAAAGGTGGTGGATTGGGAGGTTTAATAGAAAAAAATCACAAGATAGGCTATTTCCCAAAGAAACACTGTTTTGAACACCATGAAGTATGGGGAAAGACATGCTTTAGGATCTAATACAGGTTCCTAAATTTTATACAAACTCACTACTTAAAACGTCTGATTTGCATCAGGGGACAGGACTTTTTGCTTTACCAAAGCAATCACTATAGTAAACAGTTAAAAACAACAGAACTTCATTTCTCTAGTACTCTGTTGTTTAATACGGTAGCCACTAGCCACATGTGGCTATTGAACATTTGAAATATGGCTAGTTTGAATTGAGATGTTCTGTAAGAGTAAAATACACACCAAACTTCAAAGATTTAGCATGGAAAAATAATGTAATAGTTTTTTTATATTGATTACATTGAAATAGTGTTTGGATATATTGGGTTAAATGAAGCATTAACATTAGTTTCACCTGTTTCTTCTTTTTTTATCCTTTCAATGTGGCTACGAGAATATTTAAACCTGGCTTGCATTATATTTCTATTGAATGGTGTTCCTCTAGTGTATTAAAAAATAGAGTTTGACTGTTAAGCATCTTTATAGTAGTACATTTCTTACTTTAAGTAAGTATACCTGTACAGGAGAAACAGACTCATTGCAAGAGAAGTGGAGTGGAGATTTGTAAATAAGGAAACATTATAGAAGAAAGCACTCTGCATCAGTTACCTCTCAGTCTGGGGTGAGGTGGTGTGAGGGGTGGTCCACTGCCTGAAATAAGTGCTCTCATTCCTCTCGTTCCTTCTGATCTACTATTTGGGACCCTGAGAGAGGAGGGAAAAGGCACTTTGAACTTCTTTGCCCTTACCAACTTAGCCATCAAGCTGTGGGTGGGAGACAGTGGCAATGTGACAGGAAGTTTCCCTTGACACCTCTGGGCCGCCATCCCTGCCGAAGAGAAGAAGTAATGAAGCAAGCCCCTTCTTCACTCCCAGGGCCATCTGATAGAGCTGCTGCCGCACCTCCTTCTGCCAATAGGCATAGATGAGTGGGTTGAGCAGGGAATTGCACACGCCAAGCAGCCACAGGTACCGTTCCAGCACTATGTAGAGATGGCACTCCTGGCAGGCCACCTGCACAATGCCAGTGATAAGAAATGGGGTCCAGGATAGAGTGAAGCTCCCGATGAGAACAGCTACAGTGAGGACAGCCTTGAAGTCGCTGGGAGTCCGTGGGGGCTGGTAAGCTCCAGCCGTGGCTCCAGCATGCTCCATCTTTCGGATCTGCTGGCTGTGCACGAAGGCAATCTTGAGCATGTCACAGTAGAAGAAGACAAAAAGGAGCAGGGCTGGGAAGAAGCCAATGCAGGAGAGTGTCAGCACAAAGCGTGGGTGAAACACAGCAAAGAAGCTGCAGGGGCCCTGGTAGGTGGTCTGCTGGAACATAGGGATTCCAAGTGGGAGGAAGCCAATGAGGTAAGACACCAACCACAGCCCAGCAAGGCAGGCTCCAGCCACGAGCCCGTTCATGATCTGGAAGTAGCGGAGGGGCTGCTTGATGGCAAGGTACCTGTCAAAGGCAATCAGCATGACGGTGAGGACAGAGGCAGCTGCAGAAGAAGTGACAAATGCCATCCGAAGACTGCACAGGGTCTTCTGTGTGGGCTGAGCTGGGCTGGAGAGCTGGTCTGTGACTATGCCAGAAATGGCCACACCAAGCAAGGTGTCAGCCACAGCCAGATTCAAGGTGAAGCAGAGATTGACACCAACATTCTTGTGGATTGACAACAGCACAGCCACGGCCACTAGTGCATTAGCAGCAATAATGAGGGAGGCCAGGACAGCAAGGATCACTCCAAATGAGAAAGATGACTCCATCTCTGGAAGTGTCAGGATTTCCACTTACCAGAGCATGCTGGCTCTCCAACTCAAATTCTTGTGGGCTGGGAGAGAAGGAGCTGTGAATTCAGAGCTGCAGCACAGTTCTGGTCATCACTGGCAGTCCAGGCTGGCAGCTTGCCATCTCTGGGATCCTGCTGGTTATTAATATTCACTCACCCTCTTCTCCTTTTCAGTCCTCAGCCTCTTGCCTCCTCAGCTCTCTGAAGGCAGCAATTTCCATGCAGACCTCCCCTGGATCCTGAGCTAGTCCCTCCCCCTCCAACAACCAAGTTACTAGACAACGCTCAAGTACCTAGTGCACACTGTCTCGCCAGGCTCTCTCTCCTTTCACTTGATGCTTAATGGACTTTGGAGGGACTGGAGCATTCAGCAGGTCTCCTGTCTGGCAGAAGATGTAATTGACTCTAACCACACTCTTTCTTCCGCCATAGCTGGATATTAATTTCCACTTCTTCCTCAGCCTCAACTATGAGCTTAACAACTAACCTCAGCCTAATTAAGCATTTACTTAATAACCAATTCTCAGTTACTGTTTCCTAACTCTTCAGATTCTAATTCTCTGAAACAGGGTTTGCTGTTCCCTTCTTCCTCATCCCTCAGAACTCAATTAGTTGAGAACTTATAAGGGTGGGAAAAACAAAGCTGAGAATTGTTAGTAGACTTCATTCCATTTAGAATAGAGCCCATCCCTGTCTAAGGCATCTGTTTCTGTTGGATATACTCACTGAGAATTTTTCTGCACCATGTTAGGCTATTTTTCTGGTCATGAGTAGTGGCTGCTAGCCTTTCCTTTCTTTATCATGTACTCTTGCCTTTCTTGATCCTGTAGACCTGAGGTATTTCTGGGACAGGAGAAGAGGAGGTGGACTACATTCTAGAAAAGTAGTCTGCTTTAATGTTTGGTTGTGGAATTTTCCATTTCCCAACAAAGGGTGGTGGTGTTATTGAAGCAGGTGAGATGGGCTTGGAGGGCAGCTCTGTAGGTCACTCCTATTTTAGATTGTATATCTATCCATTTGCTCCGGTACGTTAGAACTAACCTTTTGCCTGCTGCTCTCTTCTTGGATACCAAGAAGAAAGGGTGGCTAAAAGCTTATTTACTCATTTCAGGTGAGAGCACAAATGGGAAAGATTATTTTAAGTGACAGACTGGAGCAAGGTGCAGGGTTGGAGGCAAATATATTCAGATGTTTCAACAGAATGAGTGGGCCTTTGGCAGATGTCTCTCTTATAAAGGATCAGAAAGGCTGTGGTGTGGGGACTTGGTATTCCAGTTGCCAGCCTTATAACTGTTTTTTGTAACACCCATTAGAAGGCTGATTCCAGTCGCTTGGCACTTGGCCTAATTTTATACCTGGATTTAAGGTATGCTTTTGTTTCCCCAGCCTAGACCCCATGCATGTAGTCAAGATGGCCCTTTTCAAGCCAATTCTCAAACTTAAGAGTGCATCAGAATCCCCAATACCTCATCTCCAGAATTTTGGATACATTAAGTCTGCAGTGGGCTTGAGAATCTGCATTTCTAACCAGTCCCCAGGTGATGCTGATGCTGCTGGTTTGGGGACCCCGCTTTAAGAATCACTACTTTAGTGAGGTGTTTCTTAACCTCTACTGTGTAGTGAAATCACTTGGCAATTCCAAAAACACTGGCATTTGGGTCACACACCAAGAGACTCTACTGTCATTAGTCTGGGGCATGACCTATGCATCTGGAGTTTTAAAACTTCAGGTGATTCAAATATTTGAGCAGAGGTGAGAACCACTGTCCAATGGCAAAAGTGTCTGAAGTCAGGACACCTGGGGACTGAACCGACATCTCTGTGATTTTGCTTGGATAAACAACTTCACCTCTCTGACTTAGTTTTGGCTTCCTCATATGTATCATGGGAATAACAGTACCTACATCACAGTGTTGTGGGGATGATACAATGAGGTATGATGGATATGAAAAGGTTTCATAAACTGTAGCATAGGCATTTCATAACATAGGCATTTTTATTGTGTGTCTTCTAGTCTCTTGTTAATCAAAGTGTTTATCAGATCAGGTATTGGTATGACATGAGAACTCTGTAGAAATATAGAATCTGAGGCCCTGCTGAAGACCTATGGAAGCAGAGCTTCCATTTGAACAATATTTCCAGGTGATCTCTATACACATTAAAATGGTCATTTCCATGTTTTCACTCTTAGGTGCCTGGTTGTATTAGTTTTCTTTTCTGCTGTAACAAACTACCACGAATGTAGTATCTTTTTTAAAGTACATTTTATTAGTTATGCTATTATAGTTGTCCCACAAATTTTGTATCTTAAACAACACAAATTCATACAGGTTCTCAAGGTCAGAGGTCCAAACTGGGACCTAAAGGGCTCAAATCAAGGTATTGGCAGGGCTCCATTCCTTCAAGAGGCTCTAAGGGAGTTTAATAACTTCCTTGCCTCTTTCACTTTTAGAGGCTGCCCCCATTCCCTAACTCATGTTTCATCACTTTGACCTCTGCTTCTTTTGTCGCATCTCCTCTGACTCTAACTCTCCTGCCTCCCTCTTTAAGGACTCTTGTAAGTAGATTGAATCTTCCCACATAATCCATATCTTCCCCATCTCAAGATCCTTTAACTTAATCACATCTTCAATGTATCTTTCGCCACGTAAAGTAAAACATTCACAGGTTCTGGGTATTAGGGTGTGCATATCTTTGAGGAGGGGCATTATTCTGCCTACCACACTGGTTTTCTTTTCTGCCCAGGTCTCTTCTCCCTCCACCCCACAAAAGATGCTCTTCTTAGTTTGCTCTTCCTTTGCTCATGCCCTCGAGATTTATTTATTTTTTTAGCCATAAACACTTCCTATTCGTCTTGTCCTCTCAGGATCCCACAAGCTGATTCAAACTAATGTAGGAAGCCTTGGAAACTAGTGAGATCCCTGTCATTGGAAGTATGCAAGCAAAGGCTGAATGCTCACTTGTCTACAGGGTCTTAGATGGAATTCCTGCAGTGGTGCAAAACATCATTATTTCCATTGAATTGTCTTTCAGTCCCTACACAAACTGTTTTTGATGGGCCCCTGGAGTCTTTTCCCTCTCTCAGCTCCCTCCTTTCTTTCTTAGCTGTATATCCACCTTCTCTATCCACCTTGGTCTTTTCTACCCCCTTTCTGACAATAACACATGGCTCATGTGTGCATCCTAGGGGTGTGCCCATACTATGAGGTTGGGGCCATAGAGAACGGGGTTCCTTACTGGGAGATTGGTGGCAGGTCCTTATAGTCCTGCCCCACTGGAGTGGGCTGAGGGCTCTCAGAGTCTCTGGAATGTAGTGTTGACAAGATGAACAGGCTGCAGTTGAGGAAGAAAAAAGATGACAGGGTTTATGCCCTGGCTGGTGTGGCTCAGTGGATTGAGTGCCGACTTGTGAACCAAAGGGTCGCTGGTTGGATTCCCAGTCAGGGTACATGCCTGGGTTGCAGGCCATGTCCCCAGTAGGGGGCGTGTGAGAGGCATGCCCTCTCTTAGGGAGAGAAATTTCTCGGGTAGAGAAATTGATGTTTCTCTCCCTGTCTTTCTCTCTCCCTTCTCCTGTCTAAAAATAAATAAATAAAATATTTATAAAAAGAAAAGGATGAGAGGGTTTATTATCTGGTCAAATTATCCCATAATGAATGCATTAAAGGCTGGTCATACTGGGTTGTCACCAAGGATACAAAAGAGTGCTTCATCTACACTGAGTGCATGGGACTGATACCAGAGGTTTCAGCTGGAATGGGAGTGGAGGACACACCAGGCTTCAACACAGCCCACCTTTGGAGCCAGGCCCCTGGAAAAGGAGCTCTAGGAAGATATCCAAGGCAAATGGTGCTTGATTTCTATGGTGCCTAGACCATCCATCTGTTAAGCTGTATCTTGCTCAAGGACAAAAGCAGCAGTGACATTTAATATCTTTTCCTGAATGATTAGACTGTTACACCCATAACTATGAAATATTATGCAGCTGTGTGAAGAAAAAATGGGATAAGCTTTATATATCTTGACACAGAGAGACCTTGTAGCTATATTGTTGATAAATCAAGTCACACATCAATATGTAGAGTCTGGGCTTGTTTATTAAAATAAAACCCCCAGACCCCATCTATATTTGTGTATAAATGCATAGAAAGGAGATTGTTAACAGACAATGAATAACTTTGAGGAGGGAGGTAGGATTGGTGGGGCAAGTGAAGAGTCACTGTCACAATTTACTTTGAATACTTCTGAGTTGTTATAGTTTCCCAGTGAGAATGTATTCAAGTAATTGCAAAGGAAAAACCTCCTCAAAACTCCCCCTCCCTATTCCAGCTTAGCCACCATTTTGGAAAGGTCTTTTCCAGACCACACAAAAATGTGGTGTATATTCATATTTAAGTATGTATTTGTATGTATATTTTTATATATGTGTATATTTATGTGGTGTAGCTATATATATTTATATATGTATATATTTGTGTATGTATATTTATATGTGTGTATATATTAATATGCATAGTTATATATTTGCTTTTGCTCATATTGTTTTTACCTGTGTGTGTGTGGACAGGGAGAAAGGATAGGGCAAGACGGGATGGAAGAATCAGTATTTGAGGCTTTAGTCTCTCCTTGAAGTGGGAGGCATTTTGAGGAAAGAGGCCTAGCTTTCTGGGGGATCTGAGCCTTTTGTAGCAATGATCCCAGGTAACATTTATAGGGCCCGTAAGTACTGAGCACTGTGCTAAATATACAGCATCGATTCTCATTTCATCCTCACAACATTTCCATAAGGCAAACACTACTAATACCTCAATTTTACAGTTGAGGAAACCAAGGCACACAGAGTAGAGGACTCATTTGCCCAACATCTCATAGCTTGTAAGCTGTAGATATTGGAAATTGGCACACAGGCCAGCAGCTTGTGTGGGACAGCCAGCAAGAGTTTGTCCAATCTCATATCAAGCATAGACTACATGTTGTCTCCTTTTCTTGCCAGTTATGTGCTTCTGTGCCTTTGCACATCCTACTACCTGTGACCTTCAAGTTGACATTTTTATACTTTGGGCTTTTTTTTAAAGGTGCTTGAGCTGAGATTAAGTACAAGCCCTTTATGTTGTTATTGTTGTTGCTAAAGCCCAGTGATTGTGGAAAATGAGAATCATTTTTATTC